AAACAGAATACATTTTCCCTCGTATTCCGGTCTTTAGCAGACAATACCAAAAGGGAGAGAGTGGTGTTGTCAGTTACGAGATCACTCTCGGAGTCAGTACTTGCGGTGTCATTGTCGATAGATCCTTGTGAAATAATAACCGGGCCTCGGCTGCTGCCCTATGGGCGTGCCGAACGAGAAGGCGTCTTGCTTCTGTTACGTGAAGAGTCGGTCGCCGGTTGCCGCTTGCGTTGACGTGTTTGAATCTGACTACGTGTGTATTCACTGGAATCTTCACGATCTACCGTTATGAGTTTGCCGTCTTTCAAGTACCCGAATTTACCGGTTTCCTTAAGGGCTTTTAACTGTTTTCTCTGTCGTGTCGTCAAGTCGCTGGAAATTCCAAGTCCATTCTCCTTGAGGACTGGTATCGATTTCAGAGCGCGGACCTTATCGTCTGACAGCGCGAGTTTCACAATGATGGGACGTGGTTTAGTTGCTTGTTGATGATCAATAAATCTTTAAGTTCGGCATTAAATATAATTCCCAGAACATCAAATTCATTTTTTCGCCATTCATTATTCAAATCCTGACATAGTTTATCTCCACAGCCTGTTTTTGAACCAATCCAGATTGCTTTAGTCTTATCAATATTTATTTTTAGTCCTGACATGTTATAGGAGGTATTAATTGTATTAACAGCAGCATAAAGACATTTTTCTGTACCATCTAAAAACAACTCAGTATCATCTGCATATTGTCCTAATTTATACTCCGTATCAACAATTACTATACCTTTGATATTTTCATTTTGTCTTATCATGCATCCAAGGATTTCAGCAACAAAAAGGAAACGATATGGTGATATTGTCTACAGCCCCGTTCATTTGAAAAGGATTCTGAGAGATGTCCATTTTGAATAACACAAGAAGTTGTATTATAGGTTAGGATATTTATCCAGCTAATTTTGGGGACCAAAACCAAACTTTTTTAATACCAAGTTGATAAAATCTTTAGAGACAGTATCAAATGCCTTTTCAAAATCGATAAAAATTAATAAACCTGGGATGTCTCTTCTTTTTTGTTTCAAACATAATGTCACACAGTAATCTTGTGTTTTCGCTAAATATTTCTACCAGGTATAAAACCAGTCTGATTTTCATGTATAAGAGAGTACAGGGTTGTTTTTAAACGATTAGAAATACAAGTACTTACTATCCTATACAGTGAATTCAATAAAGTTATTGGTCTCCAGGTTTTTAAAAGGGTTCTGTTTTTATTTGGTTTGGGTATACATGTAATGACACCTCTTTTCATTGTAAAAGACATTTGATTCTTATTAAAAATATCTTTAATGAATCTATAGATCCAATATTTAAGCTCTCTCCAAAACTATTTAAAGAAATCTCTTGGAAATCCAACTACTCCAGGACTATTGTTATTTTTCATATTTTTAACAGCCAATGTTATTTCTTCCGTGTCAATATCTTTTCTAATTTGTTTCTAAGATGGTCACTAAAAGTGGGAAGTTCAGACTTCTTTAGTTGGTTATACAATGCATGACAAACAACTACACAAGACAGCAATGAGTTGAGTTGTTGGTTCAAACATCGGAAGGAGCGGCCTTGTGTGACAAAAGATGGGCACATCCATCAAAGCCATCGTCCCCGCTGAATTTATATTGTTTTGCAGCCGCAGTTGCATCGCCATGACAGTTATAATTGTGTAACAATATAACAGCAACATATCGTCAGTCACGATTTACATCGAGACAATGTATAATTCAATGAGTAAAGAAGAATTACTCAAAGCCAAAACATAGGCGATTACTATAAGATGTCAAGCATCTTTGCTGGTCAATACACAACACGACTGATATTAAACTGCTTGGCTATATTCGTTCCTCTTCTTATTATTATGGGTATAATCAAGTTCCCAAAGTCTGATTATATAGAGGACAACTGTCTGAGCCTATTTGTGCCTTTATCACAGAGGACTGTTACGACAAGAATGTTATATTCCTAGACAGTATGTATTTGGATAGTTTGCTTTCTAATTCATAATTTCGGCCATCATTTCAGTAATATATATGTAAGACCTGTACATAAAAAGCTCCATACATACCACCATGCACATCGCACTCATACATGCAGGTTTACATTATAAATGTTGGGCTTCTTTTGTCACTGAAACATATTCAATCTTACTTTGCTAGAGTTTGTCCAATCATTGAGTTGCCGAAGACCAATTGTAACCTGGACTCTAAACATATTTCTGAACCTACAGGAAAGATAAATGAATACATGATCACCTCAGCATCACCGTATAGAAGTCCTTGTTTGATTGTAGGTTATTCCTAAATGATCAACACAATGTATGTCGTCTGTGTCAGCTGGTTTCATGATAAACTATTAACACAGTGTATGTCGTCTGTGTCAGCTGGTTTCATAATAAACTATTAACACAATGTATGTTGTCTGTGTCAGCTGGTTTCATGATAAACTATTAACACAGTGTATGTCGTCTGTGTCAGCTGGTTTCATGATAAACTATTAACACAGTGTATGTCGTCTATGTCAGCTGGTTTCATGATAAACTATTAACACAATGAATGCCGTCTATGTCAGCTGGTTTCATGATAAACTATTAACACAGTGTATGTCGTCTATGTCAGCTGGTTTCATGATAAACTATTGACACAATGTATGTCGTCTATGTCAGCTGGTTTCATAATAAACTATTAACACAATATACGTCGTCAGTGTCAGCTGGTTTCATGATAAACTATTAACACAATGTATGTTGTCTATGTCAGCTGGTTTCATGATAAACTATTGACATAATGTATGTCGTCTGTGTCAGCTGGTTTCATGATAAACTATTAACACAATGTATGTCGTCTGTGTCAGCTGGTTTCATGATAAACGATTAACACAATGTATGTCGTCTGTGTCAGCTCGTTTCATGATAAACGATTAACACAATGCATGTCGTCTGTGTCAGCTGGTTTCAAGACAAACTATTAACACAATATACGTCGTCTGTGTCATCTGGTTTCATGATAAACTATTAACACAATGTATGTCGTCTTTGTCAGCAGGTTTCATGATAAACTATTAACACAATGAATGTCGTCTGTGTCAGCTGGTGTCATGATAAACGATTAACAGTGTATGTCGTCTGTGTCAGCTGGTTTCATGATAAACTATTAACACAATGTATGTCGTCTGTGGCAGCTGGTTTCATGATAAACTATTAACACAGTGTATGTCGTCTGTGTCAGCTGGTTTCATGATAAACGATTAACACAATGTATGTCGTCTGTGTCAGCTGGTTTCATGATAAACTATTAACACAGTGTATGTCGTCTGTGTCAGCTGGTTTCATGATAAACTATTAACACAGTGTATGTCGTCTATGTCAGCTGGTTTCATGATAAACTATTAACACAGTGTATGTCGTCTGTGTCAGCTGGTTTCATGATAAACTATTAACACAATGTATGTCGTCTGTGTCAGCGTGTCTCATGATAAACTATTAACAAAATGTATGTCGTCTGTGTCAGCTGGTTTCATGATAAACTATTAACACAGTGTATGTCGTCTGTGTCAGCTGGTTTCATGATAAACTATTAACACAATGTATGTGATCAGCTGGTTTCTGAAACTGAATCTTACATCGAGAACTGTACATAGCACTATTGCCCATCATCAAGTTACATGTAAATACAATGAGCTTATGAATAGACAGTGGTATTTGTTAGATGCATTAGCAATTGGCTCTGCGCGGAAAACTATGTTTTTATATAGCCATGAAGCAGTATGCGAAGACCCCATAAAGCCAATCTGAATAATACGCTAAACTTAATCTGATTCCTTTTTGGACGAACTGGCTGGAGGCTGAATGTGAATAGCCGACGTATAACAAAGAGATGGGGAAACATGTGAAATATTCACTGGAGATACGCTTGTACAATGTTGTTTTGCATTATAACGGCATTAATTCGTTCTGCAATATTTTTCGTTTTCATGCGTGTTTGTTGTTAGAAACGACCGCAGCGTTCATTTATTTTCACTGTCTGTGGGTGACGTTGTGTCAGTTGGGGCGCTTGTCTTCATGTGTTTCTCACGTTAATGTCTCTAACCAGCTCAAACGGTAACCGTTGTAAGGCAATCACTACCAGTCTGTCAACTCAAGCTTCCGGGTAAACACTGTTGAATGAAACTTTACATTATGGCCGACATGTGTGAACTGTGACAGAGTTTTACAGGTTGAAATTGCTTCAGATATAACCTAGTCTGGACCTTGCAGGAAACAGACTTACTAATAGACAGTATACTGATGTAGCTCACGTACGGGTTCACCAGACCACAGACACAAAGTAGTGAACCATGCAACACTTCATACTCTGATCAAAACAGACATGTCAACATCACACAACTGTTTAAGAGACTGCTATGATCCGTTCTTCTCATCCGTGACATCAAGCACTACAGGTGAAGAAACATTACTCCATGTTATCCTTGGAAGACCACGTGCCATCCAATTAGATGCCAATACAATTGTCATGATCCGTGTGTAGTATGTGTAATGACTGTGGTGGGGACATCTTGTTATGAGCAGATACGCACTGTAAATGCCCATCACCACCTTACTGGCACTGCCATGAAAAGTGACATTTAAACTGACTCCGAGTTCTCACTACAATATCGTGGTTGCAAATAAGTTGATATAACTCTCTCTATATTTACCTTTATCATTCTGCATTTTCATAAAATTGTATGTGTAAAAATATCTATAATCTCTATAAGAAGGAACTTAAGATGATAACCACACGTTCTAAACATTTGGCGCATAAACAGATTGTTACACATACCAATATATTTTTCAGTAAGTGTTGCCGCCTATGGGCATAGACTGGAACAATTGCAAACTTTAAATCAAACCTGAGTGAATACATGGACATGCGATTCCAGGATGACAGATGACCATTGTGACGCAGTCATACGTTGGTTGTTTACCTCGTACACGCTGGTGATCCCGATGTTGTACAGCACAGGGTTGAACACGTGGGCAGCTCCCGCCACTGCCAGCACCATCCCCAGAGCCAGCCACCAGAACATCGTGTTGTAGTTGTAGATTTCTGCCGGAAGTCCTAGCAAGGTCAAGGCCGAAAGGAACGTCACAGCCAAGGACAAGGATACCGGAAGTACCCCCATACTTCTTCCTGCCACCAGATATTCAGCTGGATCGTGATCCTTCTTGCTTTTCATTGCAAAATATAGTCCAATAAATAACATGACAGAAAGTGTGCTGGCAAACACAACAAAGTCCACCACCCCCAGGGTCTTAGTTTCTCCAGTCTGGGTGCTGTACGACGCCTCCATTTTGTCTCTCTGTGATAGTCACGTTCTGCTTGAAATAAGATTGACACAGAATAGAACAAGGAAGAGAACTAAAGAAAACTGAACTGCAATATATTACTACATGGGATTTCAGCATGCATGAAATATCTAAAGAGGCTAACTCCATGTTTTTGAGAATGTGTTTTAACGGTGCAAGTACGTACATACTATACATGAGTGTGTAAATCTATCCCTATGAGAAGTATTCTGTTGAGGACAAATGCAAGCAGATGTTTCAGTGTCATCAGCTAGATAGGTACGACCTGAACATGTGTTTCACTAGCATGTGGAGTGGCATATTCACTTTTCCGATGACGTTACCAAGGTTGATACAACTCTCATCGCATCATGTATTCGTGCCCGGAATACAATGCCATGAAATCGTTTACCTCAGTGGTACAACAGTAGCCAGCAGAGCATATCACTGCCTACACCTGATACTACTTGCTTCAAGTACAGAACACGCATTGTCTGTCGGTAACTGGAGTCGACATGTACAATCAGAGACTCAGTCTTACCTCGCCGTTCCTACAGTACTTCACAGTGACCGACCACTCACGACACTAGTAGGCTGGACGAGATGCGAGGATGCAGTGAATGCACTATGTAGTCACAGCGAGTCATAGTGCCCATACGTAGAGCGAGCTATTTTTACATTTATGGAAATTCTGATAGGTCATAAACACCGCAGGTTATGGTCCTATAAACGAGTGAGTGAATTAATATTTAAGCGACATCGGTCCCATAAAACGTAGGCATAATTAATACATGTATGTACAAAAAGTTTTTGTAAACTTTTTAAATCACTAAAATATAGTAATGTTGAATGTGATGCTATGAATACTTTATTTACAAAACTGAAGAGAAGCTGTAGCACGGCATGTTGACAAGAAATGCTATTCTGTCGAACGAGGGACCACATTGTGCAGAATTGCAAGCCTGACACTGAGAAGTATGGACATAGGTTTGAAGCTTACTACAATAGGAGGTTTATGCACTACATCCCGATATCAAATTTTCAAGATTAGACTCATAGTGACGAAAAACAATTATGTACCATTGCCTATTCGTCTCCCCTCGCCGCCATCTTTGACGATTTGTATGCCGTTTCGGGAAATATGACTGCCGTGTTGGGATGCTATGAATGTCGTTTTGTACGCTCGGCGACCGTTCTCGCGCGCTCTTGTAGCTGATACGCGAGTTTCGTTTCAATTTCAAACGATTAGTCTTCCATTACAGATGTATTGTTTCGGGTTTAGAGGATATGGTTGCAGTTTTGGTGATTTTTGTTCTGTTTTGGTGTATATGAGATCAGTTTTGATGATTTGTTCACCGTTTGTATGGTAGGCCTGGGAATACAATGCCATGAAATCGTTTACCTCAGTGGTACAACAGTAGCCAGCAGAGCATATCACTGCCTACACCTGATACTACTTGCTTCAAGTACAGAACACGCATTGTCTGTCGGTAACTGGAGTCGACATGTACAATCAGAGACTCAGTCTTACCTCGCCGTTCCTACAGTACTTCACAGTGACCGACCACTCACGACACTAGTAGGCTGGACGAGATGCGAGGATGAAGTGAATGCACTATGTAGTCACAGCGAGTCATAGTGCTCATACGTAGAGCGAGCTATTTTTACATTTATGGAAATTCAGATAGGTCATAAACACCGCAGGTTATGGTCCTATAAACGAGTGAGTGAATTAATATTTAAGGTCACATCAGGCACATCGGTACAATAAAACGTAGGCATAATTAATACATGTATGTACAAAAAGCATAGGTCGGAAAACAACTAGATTATTACATATGCACTTCTAAAACTAGTCTGTAACCTTACAAGTATAACGTGTAAAAGTAACAGAATATATAATACGGACTACAGCTCACCAGCAACCAAATTAAGACAACTGGGGGCGAATGGGGCGTAAATTACCTCTGCTACCTGCGTGGTACCCAGGGGGATTCACGCCATCCCTTAAGTCGCTGGCGATTGTTCAAGACTGTGGTAGATGTAACTTTTTTTAAATGACACGAACTTACAGTACCCTCCCAAGATATCCACTACGATAAATAAATCAACATTGCCAAGAAACCGACATGCTTGACTGTAATTTCATCGCAAGGGACAAGATGGCGGATCCTCACCTTTCATGGATCAGTACGTATCCGTGTCCGTGTCCGATCAATAACACGCCACCGCCACGTAATGGCAATCAGGCTGACAATCTTAGAGAGGTGTTGTGTTGCATGTCACTACAAACGCTCGGCTGTCATTTCCCACTCTTCATGCATGAGATCTCTCCTGATATGTGTCGGCTGTCATGTCCCACTCTACATGTGTGATGACATGTTTACACATTGTACATAAGGTGTTAGAAGTGGTGTCACAGATTTTGAGAGCCCGTCCTTTTGGTCAGAACCCAGATACCAAATATGTTCAGCAGTAAGGTAGGGGAAGTGTTGATATGAAGTGAAACTACAGGCGCACTTACTAATGAATGGCAACGAATTCAGACTAGGTTTAGACAAGACGCATATTGTTTGGGATCAAATGCTCGAACAGACTTTAGTTTACTTTTAATCATGAAGGACGTATGTATTCATCACGCGACGCTCCCACAACGCAAAGAACCACAAGTCGGAAAGTGTACCACTGAAGTACACGTAAACATGACCGGATTTGTGTACGTTTCCCGATATCTCCTCACTTTGGACGGTTATTTCATATGAAGCTGCACTTTAAAACGTATGATCATCGTGTATTGCCGCACAGCACCTTGTTCATGCATGAAGTGAAAACTTGATACCTCAGGTAATGCTTGACCATATAGTATACCAATACATGTCACCTGACCATATAGTATACCAACACATGCAAACTGACCATATAGTATACCAATACATACCACATGACCATATAGTATACCAATACATGCCACCTGACCATAGCATACCAAAACATACCACATGACCATATAGTATACCAATACATGTCACCTGACAATATAGTATACCAATACATGTCACCTGACCATAGCATACCAAAACATACCACCTGACCATGTAGTATACCAACACATGCCACCTGACCACCTATATAAAGTATACCAATACATGTCACCTGACCATGTAGTATACCAACACATGCCACCTGACCATATAGTATAGCAACACATACCACATGACCATATAGTATACCAATACATGTCACCTGACCATAAAGTATACCAACACAAGCCGCCTGACCATATAGTATAGCAACACATACCACATGACCATATAGTATACCAATACATGTCACCTGACCATGTAGTATACCAATACATACCACCTGACCATGTAGTATACCAATACATGTCACCTGACCATATAGTATAGCAACACATACCACATGACCATATAGTATACCAATACATGTCACCTGACCATAACATACCAAAACATACCACCTGACCATATAGTATACCAATACATGCCACCTGACCATATAGTATAGCAACACATACCACCTGACCATATAGTATACCAATACATGTCACCTGACCATATAGTATAGCAACACATACCACATGACCATATAGTATACCAATACATGTCACCTGACCATAGCATACCAAAACATACCACCTGACCATATAGTATACCAATACATGTCACCTGACCATAGCATACCAAAACATACCACCTGACCATGTAGTATACCAATACATACCACATGACCATATAGTATACCAATACATGTCACCTGACCATAGCATACCAACACATGCCACCTGACCATGTAGTATACCAATACATACCACATGACCATATAGTATACCAATACATGTCACCTGACCATAGCATACCAACACATACCACATGACCATATAGTATACCAATACATGTCACCTGACCATAAAGTATACCAACACATGCCACCTGACCATATAGTATAGCAACACATACCACATGACCATATAGTATACCAATACATGTCACCTGACCATAGCATACCAATACATGCCACCTGACCATGTAGTATACCAATACATACCACATGACCATATAGTATACCAATACATGTCACCTGACCATAGCATACCAACACATACCACATGACCATATAGTATACCAATACATGTCACCTGACCATAAAGTATACCAACACATGCCACCTGACCATATAGTATACCAATACATACCACATGACCATATAGTATACCAATACATGTCACCTGACCATAGCATACCAACACATACCACATGACCATAGCATACCAAAACATACCACCTGACCATGTAGTATACCAATACATACCACCTGACCATGTAGTATACCAACACATGCCACCTGACCATAAAGTATACCAATACATGCCACCTGACCATAGCATACCAAAACATACCACCTGACCATATAGTATACCAATACATGTCACCTGACCATGTAGTATACCAATACATACCACCTGACCATAAAGTATACCAATACATGCCACCTGACCATATAGTATAGCAACACATACCATCTGACCATATAGCATACCAATAGATGCCCCCTATAAAGTATACCAATACATTCCTTTAATTGTAACATGTGCTGAAATTTACAAGGGCTTGAAATATGAATATTTTCTGACGTAGGGAAATGTTTTTAGATTTTTTCATTCTATAGAAACTTATGTATCATTCCGGATATCACGGGTATGTATCTGAGCAGTATTTTTCTTTTCATATTAACAGTTCTAAGAAAAGGTGATCTCAGAATTTGTAACCGACGACAACATTACAACAAGCGTGATGTTAGCATCCGTGTATTATACAATGCAGTAACGGCCTTGAATACATGATTCCTCCATTCAGACAATAGCAAAACATTTGTGGAAATATTTGTGTTTGCAACCTGCTAAAAGATACATACAGACTAGACACTTAACTGGGCAAGCAGAAGCTCTCTTCATGGGACACACACTGATGGTGACTTCTAATCTCTATTGGAACAATGCAATTGGTTTGGCCATATAACAAATTTGTTTGAAAGATGGGTTTCGTTCAGACTTGTACTCATGTTGTGTCTTGCCTGCTCGACTTCTTCAATCACAAGTCAGTCGGATGAAATCCTGTACACTCCTCCATGGTAATTTGGATGGAATCCTGTACGCTCATCTACCGTCAGTTCGATGGAATCCTGTACGCTCATCCATGGTAATTTCGATGGAAACCTGTATGCTCCTCCTCGGTCAGTTGGATGGTATCCTGTACACTCCTCCATGGTAATTTAGATGGAATCCTGTACGCTCATCCACCGTCAGTTGGATGGAATCCTGTACACTCCACCTCGGTCAGTTGGATGGAATCCTGTACACTCATCCACCTTCAGTTGGATGGAATCCTCTACGCTCCTCCACCGTCAGTTGGATGGAATCTTGAACGCTCCTCCACCGTAAGTTAGATGGAATCCTGTACACTCCTCCACCGTCAGTTTGATGGAATCCTGTATGCTGGACCACCGTCAGTTAGATGGAATCCTGTACGCTCATCTACCGTCAGTTGGATGGAATGCTGTACGCTCATCCATGGTAATTTGGATGGAAACCTGCATGCTCCTCCTCGGTCAGTTGGATGGTATCCTGTACACTCCTCCATGGTAATTTAGATGGAATCCTGTACGCTCATCCACCGTCAGTTGGATGGAATCCTGTACACTCCACCTCGGTCAGTTGGATGGAATCCTGTACACTCATCCACCTTCAGTTGGATGGAATAAGGCCGGGTGGGACAACTTGGGAATGGCCAGCGAGTCCTAACTTGACACATAGAAGGAAGCGAGCTACAAAGACATATTTTATATCATTGGAAAGATCTCGAGGAGATGAACTCAAAAAATTCATGTGCCAGTGCGCGCACGTGTTCATAAGCTCACAAATGGGCTCTGAAAATGCATTTCTGCAGAAATTACTGGCAGAATTATTTTTTTCCGCAGAAATTTCTGGCAGATTTTTTTTTCCCGCAGAAATTTCTTGCAGAATTTTTTATTTCACTACCAGAATTATCTTAATTGAAAAATATTAGACACCATTTTAGGATAATTCAATATGGACTTTATTTAAATGATGTTACTTTCTCCTGTAAACAACTTCAAGTGGGAGGGGATAATCGTTCCCAGAAGTAGATCGCCGCACAAATCTTACAAGGCATATTTTAACATCTTATCAAGACGAAATGAAAATAAAAATAATATGGTGATTTTTTTTATACATCTTTTATTCACGTTCTGTATAACATGAGTTTCACTGGACGAAGTTACAGTCATTTCATGTTAGACATGAGCCCTGTTGCCAAATGTTTCAGAGATAGATCCTCTCGGAGAAATATGTGTCCTATATATATATATAAATATTTGTCAGGGTTGAGATTGCGATCTGATCGGAGATTCTACCAGTAGAGACTTCGCAGTCTTTACCAGTATCCTACGGTCTACTCCCATTTGTGAGAACTTCCAGTTGTGAGACTCCCAGTTGTGAGACAGTGGAGTAGGTACTTAGGAAAGAAACACACCTTACTCCCCTATCTGATAGAATGGATTAACCCCAGCTAATTATGGATTAGCTATTTAACTGAATCTTGTGGAGGTAACTTAATGAAACTCTAAAAGATAAAGTAATTAACCTACTCAGATAAATGGCTTTAAAAAATAAACACTTTGTGTAGGTAACTTCGTGATCATTTGAAAGAGAAATTAATTTACCTACTCAGATTTACGTGTTTGAAAAATCTAGCAATAACTGTTGTAACAATAATTAATCCAAATGTATTTATTAACCTTTGACTGCTCTTTCCGATCACACCATTATGGCAGGCCTTCAACAAGTAGAATATATCACCAGTTCAGGATAATCTTTTTCAGTAATTCAGTATCTATTGAAAACAATAAATGCTCTTCAACGAACAATGTCTTCTGTGTCAATTAACTCATTAATGAACTATGCCTCCTGCGGGTACTCTTCAATAACAGGGCTGTTCAACAACAGGGCTGTTCCCACTTTCATCGTAGGGATGGGAAAAGCACCACCTGTGTGCACTGAACCATTAATTAATGTGTCTCTCACAACTGGGAGTTCTCACAAATGGGAGGACACCGT